CCAGGTCCGGGGGCAGGGCCTCCAATACGGCCAGGTCCGCTTTAGTCAGCCTCCCCCACACTATGTTCATAATCTGAGTACGGATTCCGGAGAAGTCTGATACGACGTCGAAGGTGACATTGGGACTGTCTGACGATCGTACGGGTTTCATGAAAACATTGAGCAGGCCGCCATTCTGATATTGCAGTATCCAGGCAAAGATTGCCGCCACACAGCCGAGAACAGTTGGTATGATCATGGTTCTTGATCGGTGCAAATACAAATACAAGAAAATAGGTTCGTTAAGATAAGCGTCCATGAAGGATTTAGAGGGCTTTATAGGAGGGAACAGTGGACACAGGAAGAAAGATAGAGACCTGGCATGCTACGGCCAGAGGTTGCCCTAAAATCCTGAGTGCTGCACATACAGCAGTCAGCGTAGTGATTTACATATCAAAGGTTTTTGTTTGCACAAAGTCGGTTGTTGAATGCAGCAATTTTGGTATATGATAAAAATCGAAAACTGGCAATAACTCAGGCTGCGTGAGCGGCTACCCAGAGACTTACTTGGTCTGTAACAAACCAGCACATTTGGTCCTCTCTTAAGACTGACTGGGTTTTGCGAAACTGATGCTAGAATGTCTTGAAACAAACATAGGGAAATAGGTAGTTGAGAAAACTATGTTACAAATTAGACTACTGAGGGGAATACCACTGCACTCGTCCTTCATAACACGTAATCAAAGGAAGCAGCAAACTAATGCTATCAGAAAGTTTATGGTTAGAAACTGCTAAATTATCGCCGGTAACATATATGGCCTTGTGTTGAATTATATAGAGTTTAGGTGTAGTATTACCGAAAAGACTCGAACACTAATAATTGTCACGAAGCCCATCTTCCTTATTAATTCGCTTTTTAAGTTATTTTTCATCTTCAACAGCCATGTGTACGAGCAAAAAATGGGATACCGACGTTAGTGATACTCAAAAGAGGCCTCGTACAAAGTTCAAGGCATTGTTGAATTCAGTCTTTCCCGACATCTAGTTAACCACGGAATAAGAAGTCAAAAAAACAGTTGCCCTTCTTTTACGTCCGTGTAACAAACCTAGCAGACGGGAAGAGAAGGACAACGGTCTACTGTAAGACAACCAACCCTTGGCGCATGCTTAACTTCCGAAGCAATCACCCAGTTGATCACAAACACAGCTGTGTCAGAATCTTCTTCCGAAATGGTCAAACACCTTTCAGTCACGACAGCGGAGATCAGGTGGAGATTAAGTAGTGGCATCTCCTTTTCAAGGCCAACGGTTATGTAAAGTCCTTCATCCGTAAGCGCACCAGGAAGTCTCGTTTTTAGTGGTCGAGCGAAGAAAAGCCAAAACTCTGACTCGAAATCTTCTACATGATAAACGTTTTGGAGGCGACAACACGAATCCTAAAACTTTTGTGGGATTAGCGTAGCTAAAATGCCAGCATTAACGATTAGACAGTAAGTCATGAAGCTCCAAAACCCGCTGCCAGTAAAAAACCGATCAGCAGTGGTTTGCAGCACACCATGCCAAATTTGTGATGCCAGGTATGTTGGTAAAATGGGTAAACGCCTGGGATACAAGATTGTGGGAACACCAACTTGCAATCAACCGCAAGGAAAATCTGTTTTTGGTCGATGATCACATATGACAGCTGAACCAAGATTTTGCCTTCGAGAAAGCGAAATTGTCAAGCTGAGCCAAAAAGAAGCTGGCCAGACGGTTCGAAGGTCAGTCCTTGACTAGCCCACTCAGCCGGCCAATAAACTTGCAACCCGCCTAACTGACATTTCAAATAAGGCTCAAATAAATTAGGATAGGGCCACCAGGTCGAACTGGCACACGGGCCAAGAGCCGACGCTCAAAAAATTAGGAATGATTGAAGTTATATGACCAGAATTCAACCCGTACGCCGGCGAAGCGGATAACAACTCGAGCGAAGAAAAACAAGTGATCAGTCTGCCGAGTGACATAGGAGAGACCTACAGAAACCCCGACTTGCCTACAACTACGCTGATCCCAAGGGAGACAAACGTCACGCAAGCCCGCCAGCGGCTTACTTCCGAGAGATTTTAGTTAGTCAGCAGCGAAAGGAGAGATCAATGTTCATGCATTCAGCACGGTTTTAGTATGAAGTGGTCGGTAGGACTGACTTACTCGAGACTACGAGACGCAGCATCTATAATATTCTGATGATGGAAGCGAGAAGCTTTCCGAAATGTCAGAACAAATACAATTCGGTACGCAAACTCATCCCTTTTTCCTCTTACTTGTCTGCAGACGATCATGAAAGACGCAATACGGTATTTGAACGTCGAATCTTTGCGCACGATAATACGTTTAGAGACAAAGTTAGAGTTAAAGATAGGGTTGCGTTTAGTGTGAGTATTAAGGCTTGGGTCAAGTGAAGTGTTAATGGAAGATTTAGATCACGGACATTTAGAAAAACTTCCAGCCATGTCCCCGTGCCGCTCCTATTCTTCTGTTTTTCCAAGGTTCATAATTCACATATACTACCCTTAGGAACGACATCGTCACAAGAACCTTTGCTTTCTGAAGGCACTTTGTTATAAACAATCCATAGTCTGGATGAACGAAGTGAACTTTTATCGTTTATACGTCAAACTCCTCCCTGAGAAAGTATGTGCAACACTAAAAGTAATTAGGCCAAAGGCTGAGCGGCACAAGTGAGTTTCGTTAGCTGTCAGTAAACGTTCACCAATAAGCATTATTAATATAATCAATTATAACTTTTTTAATTTAACTGATATAGCTAAATTGCAAATTGCTCAGGTGATTTACTTGTTAAAGTAGAAACGTGCCATTGCTAAGCAATTATTTCAAAGTAATAACTACGTTAACATTAAACATGACATTTGTGAAGGCAAAGAGCACTTTATTTGGTTATGGTAATTGTAAGACAATTTCCTACCTGGCATGAACACCTCTGAGTAGCCAGCCCAATGGTACTCTCTCGCCTCTTTATATGCCAGTCCTCCGCTACGATAAGTGCGTATTCGCACACGAGGCCAGGTTGGCGTGCATATATTATGAGCTCCGTAAACTGATTTCTCAGTGTGGCTCGTGGGCGTTCTTATTCAGTTCCAGATTAATGGAGCGCATTATTACACCCAAGGAGTCAGCTAAAACAGCAGAGGGATATTTGAGATGAGTCAAAACTGGTATAGAATGGAATTGTAGCGGTGAGCCCACAGAGTGATATTGGAGATGGTAATTTGAACTACCTGGGCATACAAAAATGTGCATGCCGCATTTACCCCGAAACCCGATTAGCCTGCTAACTGCGTACAATATGCCACGCATTCCCACAAAATGCACCTTATTCCTCCGCATACGATTTTATGATGCCCGCTACTGATACTGATCGCCATGCAGACTAATCGCATGCCATTTCACTCAGAGCAGGATGTCCGCTTTTGAAAAAGCTACTTCCTGGCCGCATGTGAACGAGCAGAGGGTGACAGTCTATTGGTGAATTCATATTCTTTTATAAACAGAAGTCAGATTCTTTAAGTTGTTAATAGAACAATTATTTGCCGTTTAGTTTTGACATTATTAGAATATTTAATTGTATTTTAAATACTTTAGTATTTTATTTTATATGATAGTATTTTACTATTATAATATCTTTAGAGAAAAGCTTGGCATGTAAAGGAGTAATGACCATGCCACGTGAGGCTGGATTATCATACCTGGCCTACATTTGTGATATGATGGTTACAAAAGAAGTCTGACCAAACGCAAGGACCTCGGATGTCATTTGGTGGGTGAAAACATATGCCTTTTTTCATAAAATAAATGTGACTTTCAAGTTAGGGCTATATATGTACCATCTAGTGGCCATGGTTAGATGTTTAGATTATTACTGGAATGTGGTCGACGACATTGTGGTAAGTATATTTGGCATATCTAAAATCGATACATATTGAGCAAGGCGAAAAAACTGTAATGGGAAAACCCTGTGGAGCGTTATAGTTTGTAGCGGGCAGAGTGAACTCAATTTTTACTGATTTTACTTTCTGTATTTCGGAATGAATAATACCATGCAAACCGGCTATTGTAACGATTGCCAAGACCGAAGTTCGTCGCCTTATGTCGTCCTATGTAAGCCTCCAAGGAATAACACCACAAGAACAGGGCGAAAGCAGACGTCTTTGAGCGTATTGAGTATAAAATATTTAGGACAACAAACGCGTGTAACAAGATGTCCATCGAGCCAATCAGCTTCTCTCCTAGCGTATGTAGGATTGGCTGGTAACTCAGTCATTGAATGTAGCTTAAAATTCACATTTATTAATTGATTGTCTGGCACGATGCGTTCGCTCGCATGTAAACCGATCGAAAGCCTACTGTGAGCGCGGCTGCTACCTGTGCGCAAGCTGCTTCCGAGCTAGTACCTAACACCGCAGGCGTGTATGAGAGACAGATTTAGGTAAACTGCGGATAATTAAGATCACACCTGGGTGGACTGGACAGTGGGTGTTAGTAAGGCTTGGCGTGAGGGCATTTGACGTGAGAATTCAAAGACTTACAGATGGCGAACTCGCAACAAGCGTCTGCCGAAAGGACTTCACTGCAGAAATCATTTCTCACTATGGGAGTAACCACCCTGCGGCCCAAAAAAAGAAATTTTGTTAGTACTCTTTTCCAACGGGGCCAACGTTATTGCAGTAGTTTTGGATTGCTTAAGAGAAAACTAGCGTATTTGTACATGTTCTTCCGGGCGAACGGATATCCGACAAGCTTTGTAAAAAATTGCCTAAGACGTCAGTGTCAAGCACAAAAACT